AATTATCTCCACACAATAGTTTCAGTGGCGTGATGGGCATTTTTGAAACTCATGGTTTCATTCATTCATCCATTCAGTCCAGAAAATTTTTTGATGTGTCTGCTTGATATTGGGAATCATGTACATGGGTAAAAAAAAATTCAATTCCTAACTTTCCGTAGCTGTGCTTGTGTTGGAGGCTGATAGTTATCAAGTAACCACGAATACATGTAAAATTGCCATGTTGCTAATGAAGCAATTGAACAATTTTAACCTATGAAGAGGTCAGAGAAGTTGAAGGAATAAAGATTGAACTTAGATCTCAGTGCTGACCAGGAGTTAAATAAGTGGAGAAAACAGCATTTCAGGAGGAAGAAATGTACTGGTCAAAGGCCTTCATTCATGAAAATGGTTGAGGTATAAAGTCATGGTGTAAATAAAGACACGTTAGTATATTTTCTAAACTTTTCTTCATTGAAGGGAGGCATTCTTCCATGATGCCTTTGATTAATGCTTGTTTCCTAGTTGCTCTAATTTCATCTTCAAAAGTACCAAATTTTTTAGGTTGGTGCTCTAGTTTGTCACCTAAATCATCTACCTTCGTTCATAATTTGCCTCTTTGTCCTTTTCTGCTACATTTTCAGAGGTTTTTCAATTGAAACTTAAAAAAAAATTTTTTTTGTATTTTAGGTGAAAATTTATATAGGAAATCAGTTTTCCATTTGACAGTTTTTATACAAAGTGTCCCATTTACGTTTGGTAATGTGTCAGCATTCAAATTACTTCTATTTTGTTTGTTTTGTTTACATTTATCTAGCTTCTCTGCCCTTCCTTGCCTTCTCATCTTTGCTTTTGGGTAAATTTGACAGCATGGTCTCATACAGTTTGATTTCTTAAGGGACCACATTCCTCATGAGTGATATTGTTTATTTTATAAAACAATCCATCTATTATTTGGCTGAAAGGAAACCTCTGGAAGTGGCTCAAGTTCCAAGTTTAAAAGGTAGGAGAGACATTCACTGGCCTCTTCTACAAGACTTGTTGTTGGGTGAGGACACCTGCCATGGCACCCTGTTTCTCATAGACAGTTTAAAGCACATTCTTGAGTTTTAAGAAGGCCTAATGCAGGAACTGTCAGGAGATACTGCTAGAGCTTTAAGAAGTTGTTCTCACACCCAGAGGTTGAGACAAGGAAAATAGTGTCTTTTTCTCAGACGGCTTCTATGAGTGGTATTGCTATTAATCCAAATTTCAGGATTCAAATTTGGTAAAATCTGATCATCCCAGGGAACTTCTCAGCTTTTCTCAGCTTTAAAGTGTGGCGATTTGGCAAATAGCATCTTTCTAGTCCAATAACAGTTCTCTCTGTCCTTGTGAAATAACAAACCCTAAGTATTTGACTACAGGCTGAGAAATCTAACCCTTAGCTTTGAAAACCCGATATTCTTCCTGTCCTAGAAAGTTTATGGTTCAAATGGTGTTTTGATCAGTCTTTATCCGACTTGCTAGCTATGGACAAGTCATGCACATGTTGAAGGAGAATGTCGTTGGTTGGCTCTAGAGCCCTCAGATTTTGAGAGAAACCTATCCCAAAGATAGTCAATGAGTGTCTAAAACTTCATGGAAGGTGAGTCCATTAATATTGTGTTTTAACTCCTGTATCAGGATGGCCCCATTCAAAAGCAACACTTCCTGGTTTTCTCTTTAGTACTGTGAAATGCATGCAGTCCATGGTAATGGTAGCCAACAAAGTATATGGATTTGGCACTATCTAGTGGATTATTTCTCTCACCTGATTCATGGCCCACAAATCTTGCACAAGTTGGTATTCTTTTGTTTTGAAATTCTAGACTGACAAAATAGAAGTATTGAATGGAGACTGGTAAACACTGAGGAGGCCATCTTCCTAAACCCAGTCAACTACCAGTTGAAGACATTGTTTGACCTCCAGTCTCAGAGGCACTGTTTGACCCAGGGTGTCTACATGCTAGAGAGTAGATGAATGCTCACAGGCTCAACAAATTTAGCAAGTTCTGGATTCTCCCCAGCTTACACCTACAGAAACATTCTGTTCAATATTATTTGGAATAATTGCTAGGTGGGTGTTTAAGAGGGCAGCTTGAATTTTCCACCCATAACCTGGGGGCACCAAGAGGGTGACCTTATGTTTCTCAAAGTTGATTTATGCATTGACCTTATCCAGGAGGTCATGTCCAAGTAATGGGATTGAGCATTACAACCGCTAACTCCAGAAAGCATAGCTCATAAATTTACACATTCCCCCCCCCCCCCTAGTAGTTTCCTGGTGACCCTGATAACTTGTTTTTCATCTTTTGACAATTGACACTTTGTGTGGTTAGAAAAGAATGTGTAGTTCTAATATCTAGTAAAAAGTCTATTAATTCTCCTCCCCATTTTGCATTTACTTTAGTCAGGGAATTAGAGGGGGAGGTAGAGCTAAGGGATCTGGCCTTCAGTCTCAGTTAGAGTCCTCCCACTGGAAGGTGACCACACAAAGAAATAGACCCACAGGCCTTGATTTGCAGTTATGATAGTCTTACTTTCAGTATCCTTTTTTCTTGTGCCAATCATGCCTGTTTTTTTTAAAGAGGACTTGGGGTGTACCTGTGGGGGACCAGAACTTCTCTGTCCCTGACTTTGTCTTCTTCCCACCCAAACCTCTATTTTCAATGGCAGCAGCTAGAATTGTTGCTTAAACTGGAGAATTTCAAATATTTTTCTTTTCCTGCTCAGCCTCTTGGCTGATGTAAGCCTTACTGTGATTTTTACTAACACAGAGATCCCCGTACCCATGATCCCTTTTATCTCTTAGAATTTCTTTTGGATATTGGGGACACTTTGGTCAGTGAAAGTCATAGTACCTATTTTAGCATTCTTGGGGGCTTTTAGATCAATAGCAGTAAATTGTCTGAAAGTCAGGTATAATCTGCCCAAGTATGCAGAAGGATTTGGAATATGGAGTTACATACATTATGCTTTCTTGAAGCCTTCCAGATATAGAGGAAGATTATTCTTATTAAATAAATCAGAGGTTGAGAATGAGATATGGACTCATACAAGCCGTGGTCTGTTTATATCATCTCCAATTGGGAACTAAGAGGATATATATAGCCCTGAAGAAGGACCTGAAACCTGACCTAAAGGCACACCACTGTGGGTGTGTGTAGAGAGATGTCATCTTCTACAGGAGTTACTAAGGGAGACCATCAGTTATAGAAGGCAGCAATCCCTCCTGGAAAGGAGGAGGGGAATTTAGAGGAGGACTAAAGGAGCTCTGGTAGTGTAATGGTTACTAATTGGGCTGCAAACTTCAGGGTCAGCAGTTCGAAACTGCCAGCTATTCCGTGGAAGAAAGTTGAGGCTTTCTGTTCCCGTAAAGATTTATAGCCTCAGAAACCCTGTACAGGGTCGCTATGAATTGGAACTGACTCCATGGCACATAAAAACAATAAACAAGGAGGTTTAAGAGTTTCTTGCCTTCCCCTGGATAGAAGCAACCCTTTAAGTTTATTTTCCCCTTTTACCAGCCTACTGGTGCATTGCACCATTATTTTACCTTGTTTTTGAAAACTTTTGTTTTGTCACAAAGACATAAGAGCCTCAACATAACAAATTTTCTTCCAATTCACCTTGTCTGGTACAAAACAAATCCAGTTGTAAGATGGTTTTATAGTCTAAGGGTCCCTCTGTTTTGTTTTCTATCATCTAATTTATATAAGAGACAGACAGTAATGCTGTAATACTTTATTTAAGACCTTTTCATTGTATTATATTTAAAATAAGACCAGACTTTAAAGAATGCATTCAAGCGGACTACAACTCAGAAAACTCTATTGCCCATGTTACCAAGACCAAAACCAAAGAATACCAGTATCTACTATATTAAGACCATAGCAACTCGATGGCACCAAACAACAACAACAACTCACTGGTTATGTAATACTAGGTGTTGAGCCTAAAGATCTGTCAAATATGATGGAAATTGTGCTCACGAGAGAGCTCTTCTCCCTCTTCCCAGTGCAAATCTCAAACAAGTTAATACGCCTCATGAACTGCCATCAGGATTACCAGCTAGAGATGAGGTTGCCACTCTCAGTGAAAGGGTTCTAGTGGCACTGAGGGATGAAGTCATCTCAGTGCTCAATTCATTGACCTTGGGGCAGGACATCAGGTTGGATCCCTTCATGCTCGCCAAAAATTTTAGCAGACTAATCATCTGCCATGATAGATTCCATTTGGTGCAATTTCTTGGCCCAATAAATGAGACATTGAGATGAGGATGGGTGAAGAGTCTTTATTACAAGCATACAAGCAAGGAACTCAGTGGCTCAGGACATTAAATATTGTTCCAGGAACAGAGGGCTACTTTCATCTTTACGCATATTATAATAATGAAGTTTATATATATATGATTCCAAGGAAAGCATTTTAGGAGCTAATTAACATCCTTAACATCCTCAGGGCTGTCAGGAAGTGTGTTTATCTATCTATGAAATCAAAACTTACTATAGACAAGGGTTTCACCTACTAGGCTAGTATGGTTGAGCTGAAGTGGTTGGAACCACTTCTTATTTTCTTTGCTTAGTTATTATTTCAAGCTAACTCTACTAGCTTTGAATGTTTCTTCATTACAGGAATGGGGAGGAATGTAAGGAGTGGGCAGAGATGCAGTGGCCTCATTACCACTCGTGTAAGAGTTACAGTTACCTGAGCAAATACTTTTTCTTCTATTGTATATTAACCATATCTTTCATTTTACAATCTGGTAATAATCACAAATGCATAGTCGTATCACAAGAAAGAACCTTGATTTTTTTTTTCCCTTTTCTTTTTCATTTATAGTTTGTTTCATTATAGATTCATAATCAGACTGATTCAATTTTCCATCATAAGAGTGTGGGCATTCTCAATGAAAAGTACCAGGAACTGCTACTTAAAAATAATATCCTACTTAATCAATGCAAAGTTGGTGGTAAACAGAGCAGCAGATTTTTCTCTCTTTAAATACTTGTTTCATCATCCTCTCCAGCAGAAGATATAAAATGTCCATTATTGTTTAAGGGTTCTAAGTTTGCTTCAATCACAACTTTTTCTTTCTTTTCTGATGTTTTAGTATCTTTTCTTTGATATTTTTTCATCATGATAAAAAGGAATATGATAAATAAAATAATTGATGAGATTTTTAAGGTCAAAGTTATTCCTAAGAAATAGTTTCTGTGGGAAAAAAAACATATGATAATTTAAAATTGTATGGAAAAACTTAACAAAACTTGTTCATTAGTATGTAGAAAGCACTAAAAGAAAAAAATGACATTAGAAAATTATTATGTAAAAATATAAAGGCAACAATTCTATTAAATTTTTTATTATTTATAGAAGATAAAGCCATGAAAACTAGCGTTGTTTGATGACCCACTCAAGTGATGTTTATAAAGTAAGAACATACTTGCAATATTCTACTTAAAGACCGATTAGTTCATCTGGAATGACAATAGATTATTGAAAAAGTGTATTGACTGTAAAATAATTAACCAGAATTCATTTTTAAAACTTTTTATTGTGATTTGAATGAAAGCTGAGAGTAAAAAAAAATTTTTTTATTCAGTAATCCTACGTCTTTTATTTCATGACACTGATGGCAGTTCCCACAGTGTAAAAGCACTCTGCCCCCTTCCTCATTACCCTTCCTAGTTGCCTTTCTTTCCTATTCATTCTTGTCTTCTGAACATTATCCTTGGCAAATGATGCCTTTTTGATCTCCTATGGTTGATTGCTCTATGGAGTGCATACTTTCTTATAGGTCTGTTTATTATTTTTCTGAAAATTGAGTCATGCAAATGAGTTCAGTTCTAGACCGGAAGTGTGACTAAGGTACTAAGTCTTGGAGACTCCACCGGTCTCCATCACATCAGTAAGCCTAGTATTTAGAAGGATTTTGAGTTTTGTCCCATATTTTTCTCCTACTCTATCCAGGACCCTCTATGATAGATTAAAAGATCAAATATTTAGCTATGGATTAAATTCATTCCATCTGATCTTGCTGTGTGGTCTACTGCAAGTTTTTAACAATAATGACATAAAATTACTTAGCACACACAGTCTAATACTAAGATTCTCAGCTTTTGCTGCAAATTCAAACCACTGAGGAGATATTATCCTCTCCCCTAGTGTCCAAGCCATATCCTTAACCAATTAAATCCAAATCTCTAAAGTAGGGTACAGAAATCACCACTGTGTAAAACTCCCCAAGTGATAACAATATTAAGCAAAGAGTAGAGACCACAATAAAGTAGCCAAGGAAACAATAATTACTGGCTCTATGGCATACTTGGAGTCCTGCTGTGGCACTGTGGGTTAATGCGCTGGACCTCAAGGTCGGTTTGAACCACAAGGTCAGTGGTTCATGCTCACCAGCCACTCCTCGGGAACCCTATACAGGGTTACTATGAGTCAAAACTGACTCAGTGGCACTTAACAATAACAACAACAATGACATAGTTATCTAATATTGTGAAGTTTTATGAAATAAAATATTTCTTAATACTTTTACTTAAGGCTAAATGAAGTTTATTATACAATTTTGAGACCAAGGAGTTTTCAAGAAGTTCATGGAAAAATTCCACTATTTGTGTTTAGTTTTACTAAAATTACAACTGGCTATTTTGTTGTAATAAATATGAGAAAAATAATGTAAACAACACGCTTGGGTTATTTCTAGTAGTTATACAACGGAGTTAAGTTATTCTTAGTAATTTTGCTATAATCAGTAAAATTGAGAAACTTTTTGTATTTCTTACCTATTGTTGTTGTTGTTAAGTGCCGTCGAGTCAGTTTTGATCCATAGTGACTCTGTATAGGGTTTCCAAGGAGCAGCTGGTGAGTTTGAACCACTGACCTTGCGGTTCAAATCGACTTTGCAGTCCAGGTCATTAACCCACAGTGCCACACCAGGACTCGTTCTTACCTATTAGTGTTTCTTTAACTTTGAGAAATATTGAATGGTCTCATGCAGGTTTTTGTTGCTGTAAGGTGCCATTGAGTCTGTAAAGACTCACAACAGCTTAAGGTTCAGCAGATCAAAACATCACCCGATCTTTCACCAATCTCACAATTGTTACTAGACTTAAGCCCATTGCTGTTGCCACTATGTCAATTCACCTTGTTGTGGGCCTTCCCCTTTTTTTGCTGACCCTACATGTTACCAAGCATGATGTCCTTCTCCAGGGACTGGTCTCTTCTGATAACATTTCTGAAGTATGAGAGACAAAGGCTGGCCAACCTGGCTTCTAAGAAACATTCTGGCTTTACTTCTTCCAGCACAAATTTGATTATTCTGGCAGTCGTTGGTATGTTTAATATTCTCTTCCAGCACCATAACACAAATGCATTAATTCTGCTGTGATCTATGGTCCAGGAGCAATTAAGTGGTCCAATTGACATCTTTGCTCTTGAACACTTTAAACGGGTCTTGTGTAGCACATATGCTTAATACAATAATATATCACTTGATTTCTTGACTACTGCTTCCATGATTGAGAAAAATGAAGTCTTTGACAACTTCAATATTTTCTCCATTTATATGGATACTGTTTATTGGTCCAGTGGTGAGGATTTTTGTTTTCTTTACATTGAGAGGCAACTGATACCAAAGTCATTGATCTTCTTCAGTAATGTTTTAAGTCCTATTCATATCCTCTGCATATCGCAGGTTGTTAATGAGTCTTCCTTCAGTCCTGATGACATGGCTTTCTTCATATTATCCAACTTCTCAAACAATTTGCTCAGCATAAAGACAGAAGAATATGGTAAAAGAATACAACCCTGGCACACACCTTTCCTGATTTTAATCCATTCAGAGTCCCTTTGTTTTGTTGAATGACTTCCTCTTGGTCTATGTACAGGTTCCTCATGAGCACAATTAAGTGTTCCGGATTATTCATTCTCTGCAATACTGTCCATAAATTGTCATGAGCCACGTAGTTGAAAGCCTCTGCATAGTCAGTAAATCACAGGTAAACATCTTTCTGGTATTTTCTGCTTTCAGCCAAGATCCATTTTATGTCAACAATGGTATCTCTCATTCCACGTCCCCTTCTGAATCTGGCCTGACCCGTTGGCAGCTCTCTGTCAATGTATTGCTGCAGCTGTTTTGAGTTTCCTTTAGCAAAATTTTAGTTGCATGCAATATTAATGATATTATCTGATAATTTTTACATTCCATTGGGTCACCTCTCTTTGGAATGGGCACAAATATGGAACTCTTCCAATCACTTGGACAGGTAGCTGTCTTCCAAATTTCTTGTCATAAATGAGTGAGTACCTTCAGTGCCTCCTCAGTTTGTTGAACTTGTATTCCACCAACTGCTAGAACCTTTTCTTTGCCAATGCCTTTAGTGCACCATGGACTCATGGACTTCTTCCTTCAGTACCATTTCTTGATCATATGCTACCTCTTGAAATGATTGAACATCGACCATTTCTTTTTGGTATAGTGACTGTGTATTCCTTCCATCTTCTTTTAGTGCTTTCTACATCATTCAATATTTTTCCCATAGAATCCTTGAATATTTCAAGTCGAGGCTTGAATTTTTTACTCAGCTCTCTCTCTCAGCTTGAGAAATGTGGAGCATGTTCGTTTTTGTCACTCTGTTGTTGTTAAGTGCCTTCGAGTCGGTTCCGACCCATAGCGACCCTGTACAGGGTTTCCGAGGGTGTAAATCTTTACGGGAGTAGAAAGCCTCATCTTTCTCCCAGGGAGCGGCTGGTAGTTTAGGCCTTTACTTATTTCATTATAATATTTGACTTTGTCTTCTTGAGCTGCCCTTTTAAATTTTCTGTTAAGCTCTTTTACCTGCTCATTTCTTTCATTTTGCTTTAGTCTGTCTTCACTAAAGATAAGTTTCAGAGTCTTTCTGACATCCATTTTGGTCTGTCTCTTCTTTCCTGTCTTTTTAATGACACTTTGACTTTCTTTTATATGATTTTCTTGATTCCATCCCACAAATCTTCTGGTATTCAGTCATTTGTGTCTAATGCATCAAATCTATTCTTTAGATTATCTCTAAATTCAGGTGTGAAATGTAGAAGATTATAGTTTGACTCTTATGAACTTGTTTTAATTATAATTTTCTTCAGTTGCAGCCTAAAATTGCATATGAACAATTGATGGTTTGTTTCATGGTCTGCCCCTGGTCTTGATTTGGCTGATAATATGGAGTTTTTCCACTGTTCTCTTTTCACTTATGTATCATCATCTTTTATGTTGTTTAGAAAGGTATTTGCAATGAAGAAGTCATTGGTCTTTTAAAATTCTGTCATGTTCTCTGTAGCATCATTTCTATCACCAAGGCCATATTTTCCAACGACTGATCCTTCTTTTTTTCCCAACCATTGCATTCCAATTGCCAGTAATTATCAGTACATCTTAATTGCATGTTTTATCAATTTCAGACTGATGAAGTTGGTAGATCTCTTCAATTTCATTGTCACTGGCTTTAGTGGGTGGTTTGTTTATGTGAATAATAGTGCTATTAACTGGCTTTTCTTGTTGTTGTTATGTGCCGTGGAGTCGGTTCCGACTCATAGCGACCCTGTACAGGGTTTCTGAGGCTGCATATCTTTACAGGAGCAGAAAGCCTCATCTTTCTCCCATGGAACAGCTGTTCCATGGAACAGCTGTTCGAAACTTCAAACTGCTGACCTTGCGGCTCACAGCCCGATTCGTAACCACTACGCTACCAGAGCTCCTTTGTAGTTTATCACAGACAGTGTTGTACTTCAAGATAGATTGAAATGTTTGTTTTGATGATGAATGTGATGCCATTCCTCTTCACTTTGTCATTCCCATCATAATAAACCATGAGATTGTCATATTAAAAATGGCCAGTATCAGTCCATTTCAGCTCACTAATGCCTAGGATATTGATGTTTGTGTGTTCTTTTTCATTTTTCACAACTTCCAATTATTATGCTTCAATGATTAATGGATATTTACAGCTATTTATCTTGATTTTGAGTTGTCCCCCATCAGGAAATGAAGGTCCGGAGGGCTATTTTCCATTTGTGTCATCAAGGTCTACCCTACTTGAAGAGGCAGCACTTCCCCAATTGTATTTTGAGTGTCTTCCAATCTGAAGGACTCCTTTTCCAGCACTATATCTGACAATATCTTGGTGCTTTTCATCATGTTTCAATATTTGTTATTCTGGTGCTCACAGTGTTTCACTGCTAATCATAAGGTTTTAATGACTAAACTTTCAGAAGCCATCTGTCTCACCTCCTTCCTAGTCTGTCTTAGTCCGGAAGCTCATCTGATGCCTGTCCATCATGGGTGACCCTGCTGGTATTTAAATTTCTGGTGACAAAACTTCACAGCAACACACCCATCACCACAGTATGACAGATTGACAGATGATTGGTGGTCTAGGTTTTTAAGAGGTCTTTATTTTAGGACATTTGCCCTCTGTATTAGTTTGCAAATTATTTTCCTTTGTGTGTGTGTGTGTGTTTTAACTACACTTAGTATAAGTTTAGTGATGTATAAAATATTTATTTATTTTGTATTTATTAGTTTTTTTCTATTACAGGTTTTTGAGTCATACTTACCTGCTTCCTACATGAATAAAAGAAATTCTGCTATGCCCCTTTCTAATATACTATTGATTCATATATATAACTTTTATACTTTAGTAATCTGCAATCATGGCAATTCACTTTTTAAGATAGGCACTGATTGGTTCTTATACTGATTATAGAGTATCTCTCCCTAGGAATAGAAATTTTTTTAAAATCTCATTTTTTTCTTTTTCCTCCCTTTGACAGAACACTATCTGGTCATTCTATATCTTCTTTGAGAAGGCAGAGGCCATTAAATATAACTTTTTGTGGGTTGGGGAGGAAGAATTCAAAAAGGTTTGCAGGCAGTTCCCAGATTGCTAATATCTAATTTATAGAACTCCTGTTATTGTTGTTGTTGTTGTTATGTGCCATTGAGTCAGTTCGGACTCCCAGAGACCTTATGCACAATGGAATGAAACACTACCAGCTTCTGATCATCCTCATAATTGTAGTTATGCTTGAGCCCATAGTTGAAGCCACTGTGTCTGTCAGTCCATCTGATTAGGGATCTTCCTCTTTGTCATTGATTCTCCATTTTACCAAGCCTGATGTCCTGCTCCAGAGACTGGTCACTCCTAACAACATGTCCAAAGTATGAGAGAAGAAGTCTCGCCATCTTAGCTTCTAAGAGTGTCTACAATTCTTCCAACACAGATTTGTTTGTTCTTCTGGCAGTTCTTGGTTTAATCTCATTGCCAACACCATAATTCAAATGCCTCATAGGGTTTTCATGGTTGTAATCTTTAACAGAAGCTGATTGCCAAATCTGTCTTCCATAGAGCCACTAGTTGGTTTCAAATCACCAACTTTTTAATTAGAAGCTGAGTGCTTAACCATTGTGCCACTAGGGCTCCTTTTTATTGCACTAAAGTGCTGGTGTGGTGCTGTGGGTTAATGCGCTGGACTGCAAAGTCTGTTTGAACCACAAGGTTGGTGGTTCAAACTTACCAGTTGTTCCTTGGAATCCCTATGCAGGGTTGCTATGGGTCAGAATGGAAATAAAGGCACTTAACAACAACAAAATAAGACTAACTAAAAACTATGTGCACCTGTTATGACTGACCTGCACATTTTTAAAAATTAGGAATGGATCTTGTTAGTAACCAGAGGGCTGTCTACATAAATCCAAGCATTTCTTGTTAATATCTTTTGCTATAAGTTATTTTGTTATTTGTTAGTAGTGTGATTTTGAGCAAGTTACTAATTTTCCTTGAAAAACTGTGCATCTCGTACAGTTGGAGAAAAAGAGGAAAACCCCTAACGAGATGCACAGTGGTGGAAGTGACGATTGTGAAATTGGCACATGACTGGGCAGTGTTGTGTTCTGTTGTTCATAGGGTCACTATGAGTCGGTACTGACTTGATGGCACCTAATAACAACAGCTTCTATGAATATAAGAATGAGATAGAAGATTGTTTGTTAGCATACTGAGTACAAGCTAAATGCTCATTAAATGGTGTCTGTGATTACTATTGGAATCCTGCTGTGGAACTGTAGGATCTACACTGGACTGTGAATCACAGGGCCAGCAGTTCAAACCCACCAGCTGCTCATTGGAAGCCTTATAGAGCATTGCTATGAGTAGGAACTGACTCGAGAGCACGTGACAACAACAGCATTGCTATGATACTGAAAATGACATGTCATCCCTTTAGTGATTTATTATCAAATAAATAGAATAATTAATAAAATGTATTTATGCAACTTACGCAAATAATTTGTTATCATATATCCTACACGTTCCTTGCTTTCCACAATTGCTGATGGACCACTTCAAACATGCTCTATCAATCAAAGCCCCAAAATATATAGGAGCTAGAATTCCTCCTGAAACATTAGAAGAGATGATGTCAACCCAATGAAGACTTTTCAAAATTAACTGGATAATTTTCCACATTAATACATTAAAGAAGTACATTAAGTTTTGTTTTCTAGAAATTCAACAACACCCATTACTTAATGACAAAAGTAAGCATCAAGGGTCAGTGAAATTTATTGGAGGTGCAGTCTCCCTTATATTGAAGACTGATTCTTTGTTTGCACATTTTGTCTCCTAAGGATGAAGCTAAGGAAAATAGTTTTAGGTAATTTTACATGATTTAGAAACTGCTTTTACTTTAGTTTTAATCCCCTTGAAGCAAAGGGGATTAAAGTACAAAGGCTCAAGTATAAGCTGAGTCTTCAAATTTGTCTTTTTGTATGTGTGTGTGTGCTAAACTATGCAATTAACTCTCGTTTCTAGTTATCTAGTTGATTTCACGGTGGCCTTATTGTGTGAGAGTACACTTGTTCTCAATACTGTTTTCAATGGTTGATTTCTTGGAAGGAGTTCACTAGTTAGCATCTCAGCTTCCATTTTCACCACCCAGAGACTCTTACCAATTATATAGTAATAGCCTCATCCAAAATTAAAATCGGAGAGAATAGTTACTCTAAATAAAAACAATGATGTTTGTTGAGTAAGTAAAAGTTTTACATTGCTATAAATGAAATCTACCTAAGAATCAACATGATTAGTAATCTTACAGACTCAAATGCTAATAAAACCATAAAAATTTTAAATTTACTTTTGTTTACCCTTCCCCACCCAGTGCAAATAAGGAAAAAATAATGTTATATTGCAGTGCACTCTTCTAAAATATCAATTAAATTATTTCTGATTGGTAATTAAAATAACATTGTCATGAAAATAAAAATTATGTTGGCTCATGTGTAATTTTTCTTAGGCAGGGATGCTGGTACAGTAAGAGTAGCAATATAACTTCACTAGGAAAGGAAGAAGCTATGAGATCAACTGCTGCAAAGGCAGGAGGTTTTGTCAGTTCTGTATAAAGAAAATTGAAATGCGATTATAGAAACCAGAACTGCTTCCTTAGAGACGCACAGGCCCAGCTTGGCAGAGTGCTAGACTCCTGACAAGTTGCACTTTTCTTTTAGACTTAAAATTATGCCTGCCTTCTTGGTATCATCATTCAAGTCCACAATTTAATATTGTTCTCTATTGAATTTGTGCATTTTAATATCTCCTAAGGCAGTCCTGGTGTGGGGCTGTGGGTTAATGCGCCAGACTGCAAAGCTGCTTGAACCGCAAGGTTGGTGGTTCAAGCTTACCAGTCATTCCTCGGAAACCCTATACAGGGTCACTATGGGTCAGAACTGACTTGACGGCACTTAACAACAACAATAACAACAACAGGGCAGTCTAGACTGTTCAGATTGTGACTTGGGATGCTAGGCTTACTTTCAGTTAGTGTTCAGGTCTCAATATAGCGTAGGTTTTCCAAGATCTGTCCCAAACATGATACTTAACTATAGTGCATATTAGAGTCGAATGCAAGACTTTTCAAGAATACATATATTTTCTTATAAAAGAAGCACCTTTCTGCAATTGCTGCTTTTCAAATAAATTCTGAAATTGACTCCTTATTTAAGCTTTTGTAAGTTGACAAAAATTTGAGAACATGCTAGTAGAAGAGATACAGCTTTTAGATGGCAGAGATGAAGAATTTATCATTTTACATTGTTCTTTTTTGTATTTCGATGAATTATTTTTAATTTTAATTTTTTACAGCAAGTATGATAGTTGACCATACTTCACAATTTTACTGATTTAATTTCATTTTAATCAGTGTCTCACTTGTCTGTGAGAAAACTGAGATGGTATCTGAGGTCTATATAGTTGAAGAAAACTGGTACTGATTTGATGAATAAGAAATTGATACTCTTCCACAAATCCCTGCCAACTTTTGAATAATGAAAAATAAATGCCAACATCTTCCTCATACTATGACAAGATAATTCAACCAAGCTTAATAAATTTTTTCAGGTAACAAATTTGATCTTAATCACCACTAAAAATTTAAGACTTCTAAAACATCAAAGCAGTTAGATCTATTATGCAGCAGATATTGGACACATTCAATTAGAATGCACATAGAAATGGCAAAATCCTTTCTTTCTAGTTTAGGTAGCTAAGGCAATTTCTTATTAATAAAGTCTCATTTTAGCATATCAGAAGAAGTACTAACTATCCAAATTCTATTTTCATTTGCCAGTTCTGTGGTCTACAATCTAGGATCGATGTGTCTTCTTTGAACCTGGACATAAGGAGCTGCAAGGGTAGCCATAAACTGTGAGATAAGACAAACACAGAAGCGAACACTGGGGAGAGTTGTAATGTGATCGATCCTACAATAACTCCATTGTCTTCTCTGTCATCCCATTGAGAATATGACTTTCTCCACAAATGTATTTTTTGGGTGACTTCCCCATTGTGGTTTCTCCATTCAGTCATACTGCTTTCATTTGTTTCCACGGGCATTATGGATCGACCCCTAACATTTCCCTCGCCTGTCATTCATGTGGCATGTCCATGCCCTAAAATCTATGAATCACTAATGAACGGTGTCCTTTTTCTATTTCCTAGGAATAGGCATATAATTTTCATAGGGGTTAGTTCAAAAGTTATTGAGTTTCTATCAGCAATAGAAACTTGTAGGATAAAATTATAGATAATAGCAAAGGATAAGTCGAATACTTAAATCTGTAAGTTGAATACTTAGAAATGGGTCTTAAATCACTGGAGTATTTTCGTAACTAAAAGTACAACTTCTGAACTTGTTTTCCTTTCATTTTATTTCATGCTGAACTTGTAAACTTTAATTCAAGATGAACAGTTCTAGAATCTGAGTTCTCATTCCTTTGGCATTTTTGACTTTTGATAAAGTTTAGCTGCTCTAGACTTAGAGATCTTGGCTGTTGAATGTAGGGCAGTTAAATTCACCTACTGTTGATTGGTACAATCTCTGTATCATCAGATTCCCAAGTCTCACCCACTGCTTTGGGACTTACTCTTCAACAGCATAGAAGACCCTCCACTCTACCTACTAGAAGAAATGTCTCTATATTAGAGTAATACAAATTATGATGATCCCTTGTTCCTAACTGATTGACTTTAAACTTAATAATCAAAATCTTTTTTGATGGTTAAGTGCTGTGCAGTCAGTTTCAACTCATAGCGACCCTGTATAGGGTTTCCAAGGCTGTAAATCTTTACGGGAGCAGAAAGCCTTACCTTTCTCCCACGGAACAGCTGGCAGTTTTGAACTGCTGAAAAGGCTTTTGTAGACTATCTTTTATTTTTTATTTATCATACAAGTAGAAATACTTTTTATAAATACCTCTTTTTTACTTTCTTCTATTGGTAATTAATTACATTCAGTATTAAAATATTGACATGGATATTTATATCAAGAAGTTATTATCCTTATATTTAATCATACCTAGTGATCGTATAGTCAGTGAATGAAAGCCTAATGCAAGTGATTTCAGTTCTGGTTGAACATTTCTGAAATAAGATGAAAGCAAAGACACATTAAATATCTCTAAAATACAAAATGTAGTTCAATATTAAAACTTTCACAGTGTAGTTGTTTTTCATGACCTAATGAAAACCCTCAAGTGAATAGCTTGCAATATTTAAAGTTATATTTTCAGTTTTTCTAAAAAGGCTAATAATTGAATGTTAGTAATTATTACTCTCTTTTAAAATTCATTGTGTTATAATTTCAGGAAAATTTTTCACATTTGATCCTTATGAAATTCCTGACATGGTAGCTAGAAAGGACTTTATTATACCTATAAAGAAACCAATTTCATATCATCTATTCAGTTGACACAGCCCATTTCAATAGAGCAGATACTATTATCTAGATCTAGATTTTAGCAAAATTGTTTTTGTTACTTTTTGTTGTCATCTATGTCACTTGTATCAAGTTGATTCTGACTCATAGTGAGCCTGTATGGGTTTTCCAAGGAGCAGTTGTGGGCTTGAACTGCTAATTTGTGATTTGAAGTCCAGTGCTTAACCTACATAACCACACCAGGACCCCTAACAGAGTCAAACAAAGTTATTTATGTTCTAGTGAAAATGAGTATCTTCTTAAAGTTTGAGAGCACATTTTTATCTTCTTAGAAATTCACTCACTGATGTGTTTAGAAAGCTATTTCCCTAATTCCACTTTTTTCTGTAATGAATAATGCAACTGGTAATACTATCATCCCTGTGATAACCTAATACATATCAAGTGAATTGAACTCATTTAGTTGACTGCCAGAAGAACACACAAATCTGTTCTAAGAATGCTGCTTAGAAGTCAGATGGCAAGACTTTGTTTTATTTTGAACATGCTATCAAGAGGTACCAGTCCCTGGAGAAAGACATCATGCTTAGCAAAGTGGAGTGTCAGCAAAAAAGAGGAAGTCCTCAGTGAGATGGATTGGCACAGTGGCAGCGGAAATGGTCTCGAGAGTAACAACAATTGTGAGGATGGCACAGGACCAGACACTGTTTTGTTCTGTTGTGCATAGGGTTACTATGAGTTGAAATTAACTTGATGGCACGGAACAGCATCAACAAGTTGTGGGAGAGTAACTGACTCTCAAAATTCATTCCCCCCACCCATTTTTCAAAAATGAAGTTTGGGATTAACTGGTACAAAAAGTTAATTTTTTTCTTGAACTACTTGGTTGATTGATTTGTACAGAGAGCAATGTAGATTTATTTGCTCAGTAAATATTTTAAGTACTTCCTATGAGATATTAAGGAGCTCTGGAAGTGTAGTGGTTATGAATTAGGCCGAGAACTTCAAGGTCAGCAGTTCAAAACTACCAGCTGTTCCGCAGGAGAAATATGAGGCTTTCTGCTCCTGTAAAGATTTACAGCCTCGAAAACCCTATATAGAGTTGCTATGTATGGGTCGTAATCGACTCCATGGCACTTAACAACAACATGAGACATTAGGAATCGTGGTGTGGCGCTTTGGGTTAATGCGCCAGACTGCAAAGCTGTTTGGACTGCAAGGTTGGTGGTTCAAGCTTACACGTTGCTCCTAGGAAGCCCTATACAGAGTCGCTATGGGTCGGAACCGACTTGATGGCACTGAACAACAATAACATGAGAATTGTTGGAGTTAGGGAGTCCTGGTTTGATGTTTCAAGATAATGTGCTAGACTGAAAGGTCAGTTTGATTGAGCTGCAAATTCAATAGTTCAAACCTACCAGTAGCTCCTTGGAAATCCTATACAGAGTTGCTATGATGTGAAACTGACTCAATAGTATTTAACAACAAACAACAATGAGCTACTTTGCTAACTCTTATTGTTCAAAATAGAGATGAATAATGTTTCATATCATACAAGTAATTTAAAGAATTGATTAAACCTTTCTTGGTTTCAGTTTGTGTCTTTGTCGGCTAAATAGATTTAATAATCCCTAGCTCTTATGTCATAAGAATCAAATACAATTTACTTATGTAAAATGCTTGAATTAAATTACAGGCTCAATAATTAGTAGCTCTCTTGAAGGAATTAAGGGGAAATTTTTGTACAGAAAATTGAGGTGTAGAGTGCAGATATGAGAACAGAGTAACTAGAGCTGATCAGTCTGCTGGTATATAAATTATTCCATTTCTAAAATGAAAATCAGGAGACATTCTTAAAGCCACAAATTGTTAACCTTCATATCTTTGGCAAAATTCTTGATTGTTAAGTAGATATTTTTAACATTGAAAAGAATGTGGAGAGCACTAGGAGCCATGATAAATATACTATAAACATGTCAAATGTACTTTGATTTTACATTATTTTAATACAGTCTGGTAAAAAAAAAGACAGATATTTTAGATACTGGTGTATCACATTTTCAGCAGAATATATACCTATTTAGCTTCTGTACCATTTCAAAAAATATTTTAGAGTGCTTATAACATCAAGCATGGCTAAAAGTTAAAATAACATGTTGTTTGTTGTTGTGTGCTAGTGAGTCCATTCTGACTCATAGCAATTTGTATAGTCTTTCTGAGGAGCAACTGATGGGGTTTGAACTGCTAGCCTTGTGGTTACCAGTCCAGTGCATCTCCTATAGTGCTGCACTAGGACCCATAGCACAGTAAGAATTAAACACACTATAATTTTTATTAAGAGAGAAAAATTGAAAGCGTTTTTTTATTCTGCTTTTGTAAAATTGGCAACACTTCTCATAGTAGATTTGGGAGCATCACTCTATAGTTGAGTGCAGTGTAGCCTTACTTGTAAGGTAACATTATTCAAGAATGTGGTATTTTAAATATCAGCAGAGTAACCCATGGTGGGCAGGTTTCAACCAAGTTTCCAGACTAAAACAGATTTGGAAGAAGGAGAGATGGATGCTTGTGAGCATTTTAGACACTGAAAACTTTATGACTAGCAGTGGAACAAAGTTATATATCACCAGAATATTGAAATATGACATAGAGCACCAGAATACTGTCAGATTTAGTGCCAGAAAAAGAGTCCCTCAGATTGGAAGACACTCAAAATATGACTTGGGAAGAGCTGCCTCTCAAAGTAGAGTAGTGATAATGCCAATGGAGTAAAGTTTATAGGATTTTCATTTGCTGAGGAGATACAACTCAACATGAAGAGAAACAGCTGTAAACATCCATTATTAATCAGAACATGGAATGCATCAAATAGGAATTTAGGAAAATTGAAAATTGTCAAAAATGAAATGGAACACATAGTCATCGATATCCTAGGCATTCGTGAGCTGAGAAGGACTGGTATTGGTCATTTTGAATCTGACAATCATATGGTTTACTATGAGGAATAGTGTCACATTCATCATCAAAAAGAACATTTCAATATCTATCTTGAAGTACAACACTATCTATGATAGAATAATATCCATTCACTTACAAGGAAGTCCAGTTAATACAGCTATAATTCAAATTATGCACCAACCATTAAATCTAGTGATGATAAAATTGAAGAATTTTACCAAATTCTTCAGTCTGAGATTGATCAAACATTCAATCAAGATGTATTGATACTGGAGATTGGAATGAAAAGGTGAAAACAAAGAAGAAGGATCAATCTTTGGAAAATATGGTCTTGGTGCTAGAAACTATGCTGGAGATTTCATGATAGAATTTTGTATGCTCAATGACTTCATTGAAAATACTTTTTAAAAATAGGATAAAAGATGACTGTACCATACCAGATTGAAACAGCAGAAATCAAATTGACTACATATGTGGAAAGAGAGTGGAAAAGCTTCATATCATCAAACAAAACAAGGCCAGGGGCAGGCTGTGGAACAGA